TTTTTAAAATGAAACTCGTTTTCAGATCTGCCATTCAGGAAAAGTTGTTTTGGCTCCTCTATCTCTATATCCACGATTGTTGACTGATTTAATGACATGAAGACATGTTGATCATGCTATAAATCAAAAAAATTTTACACACATAAGGAGTTATAATTCCTCTTTATCTTTTGCTTCCTTAACTGCCGAATTAGCACCTCCCTCAAATAATGGCTCTTTCTGTTTTAGGGTCTGTGTGCAAACTATGGCATTGTGTTGGAAATTTGAGGCCTGCAGAATTTTCCTAAATATTGTCTGTTATATATCTATAATCCTAATACAGCAGTGTCATTCAGAATGGTGCAACCTGGTAATGATGGTTGTATACGTGAGTTAAAGCGACTTTTGCAAATATTAATTAATCAAGAAAACCCATTTGCTCTTGCATTTAAAAACATGACACAATTAGTGTCATGTAGAAATCCGCCGTGCAGCTTTAGAAGGTAGACCAACTTTTGTTGTAAGAAGGTTATGATAGACGTTGATACAATCTTCCCTTCATGAGGAGGTCGCTATTGTGTTTCTGGGAGATGGTGCTCCACCTGCATCCGGGGAAGTTGTTATATACCCTCAAGATCAGCATTTAAAAGCAATTTTGTCTATATCTGCAAATTTAGATCCTATTGTATATCCAACATTTTTCCCGAGAGGTGGTGCTGGATGGCACAATTAACTAAAACATAACCCTGACCGCGCAACCCGTATTAAAAACCATGTTACTTTGTCTCTATTATAATTATAGGCTTGCGGTTACAAACTTTTAGTTAAACACAAACTTTTAGTTGTATATTCTATAGTAAGCAACTTTTTCAGCAATACGTTGTTGATGCATATGTAAAAGTTGAGAGACAGCGCCTTGCTTTTATTAGAAATAACCAAAACAAACTTGGATGTGAACAATATGATGCATTGCGTAAACATGTAATTAATTGTGCTAATGATCTTGATGTAAGACCAGGCCGAGTTGTTATATTGCCTTCTTCATGTTGGTAGGCCAATAGCACTAACAGAAAACTTGGAAGATGCGATGGCAGTCATAAAGAAATATGGAAACCAGATCTATTCATTACTTATACCTGCAATCCAAAATGGAGAGAAATAGTAGAAAATTTAAACCCTGGCCAAACTGGTAATGACAGACCTGCTTTAGTTTATCGGGTAACAATAATGAAACTTAAATTTTTCTAAGAAGATATTTTCTAGCATGGAGTCATAGATAAAGTCGAAAGTCATGTGCAAGTTATTGAGTTTCAAAAGCATGGTGTGCCACATGGACATATTTTATTGCATTTGTAAATGCAGATAAGCTAGAAACAGCAGAAGATATAATATCAGCAGAAATTCGAGACCTAGCTATTGATCCTTGATAAAATTATAAAATCATGCATGATACATCGACCATGTACAAATTAAAATCTCAATTCTCCTTGCATAAAAGAGGGAAATGCACTAAAAAATTTCCTTAAGAATTTAATCCCCACATTGTTGCAATTTTTAATGATTATCCACGCTAAAGACATGTTGACAACAGAAGATTTGTCAATGTAAAAAGTGCAGATACTATTGAAATGATGATCTTCACGAAATCAACAATTTTCTTGAGTTTTTAAACAGTTTTACTCCATCAGGAATGCCTGTTTATTGCCCAAAACTAAAAATTGGTGCTGTTATAATGTTACTTTGAAAATTACATACTTAAGCTGGACTTTGCAATGGTACCCGATTGATGGTGCGTGCTCTACAAAATAATTACATTGATGGGCAAGTTCTAACAGTTGGCAAGAAGGTATTTGTTCCTCGATTTCAGTTAACACAATCTGATTCAAATTTACCTTTTACTTTTAAACGTCGACAATTTCCTGTAAGATTATGTCTTATTTCCAATATGTTGATTTATATGTGTTATATAAAGTAAAAGATTTATGTTTTTTAAATGTTTATGTATGTTTTCATAAGTGTGGCAGTTAGTAGTATAATATGTTCAATAAAGTCAGGATAACATAACCTTCAACAATGTAAACTAATTTTGAAATTCCACTTAAGCTTTTTTTTATACAGTACTGGAAAAATTATTATGGATTTTTTAAAATAACACAATTTATGCAACAATTTTAGTTAATTTTATTATTTAAAGTATTATATTTCACATAAATTCTTTCTATTTTCACTATACATTCATTGTGTACCATATTTTTCATAAATGTCAACATTTTTTATCATTTTATAGATGGCAACACGATTTTTATGTGTTGTGTCATAATTATGCATATTATGCACATTTATGTTAGTTCGCTGCGTTCCGTCACGAGGGCTTGTCGTCGCTGAGAATTAAAGTTTTTATAACATTTTATTGAAGTTTTAAGTTTTTTTAATATTATCTAAACCAAAAAAGTTACTTAATTTTTTTTTATTTCATTTAGTTTTGTATATAAAGTCATGGGTAAAAATAGTGATTTAAGTCCTCGTAAAATTGGACAAATTAAAGTTTTACTAGAAGATTCTGAACTTAAACAAAAAGAAATCGCTAGGAAATTAAATATATCGACACAAATTGTTAGTCTGATTAAGAAAAAAATTGAGAGAGGGATTGATGTGGGCTCTCAACGACAAGGAAACTGTGGGAGGAAAAAAATAACCACACCAAGAACCGATAGAAAAATCCAAAATATGGCACTTAAGGATAGAAGAGCAACATGTTCGAAGATTTCCAGTATGTTAGGGGAAGAAGGAATCTCTGTGAGCAGAAAAACGGTAAACAATCGATTGTTAGAGTTCGGATTGAAAGCATATCGTCCAAGAAAAAAGCCACGCCTTACAGAAAATATGAAAAAAGCAAGATACGATTGGGCAAAGCAGCATGAATCTTGGACTTATGATGATTGGCAAAAGGTAAAAATGGTTTTTTTAATCTTAAATACATTTAGGAATGATAATCAGTTAAATTACTTTTGTCTTTATTAATTATTTTAGTTGTGATGGGGTCTTGTAACATTATAATAATACGTATTTAATAAACAATAATTTTCAAATTTTAACTTAGAGGTAAGCACTCTCTCTCTACTTTCTCTAGCAGTTAATTTTGTTTCAGGTTGTGTTTTCTGATGAGTCGACTATCGCAATTTTGGATGATAGGGTCCAAACCGTACGTCGACGACCCGGGGAAGAATTTTTGCCAGAATGTTTGAAGAAGACTGTGAAATTTCCTCAAAAAATAATGGTATGGGGGGCATTTTCGGTCCATGGAACCAGTCGATTGTACATCGTGGATGGCACAATGAACCAGGACAAGTACATTAAGGTGCTAGAATCTCGACTAGTGCCACAAATTAGGGAATGGTATGGGTCAGACTTCTGGATTTTCCAGCAAGACTCTGCACCTTGCCACAAATCCAAAAAAGTTATGACTTGGTTCCAACAAAATGCTGTCCAGGTTCTTCCTTGGCCAGGAAACTCGCCCGACATGAATCCCATAGAGAATCTATGGGATATACTAAAAAATGAAATCCACCAAATACCCATAACAACAAAAAGCCAACTGATAGAAAGGTTAATACACGTGTGGTTTCACTCTACAAAAATTAAATTTTTGTGTAAAAGTTTGATTGAGAGCATGCCACATCGTGTAAAAGCTTTAATTCTTGCGAAAGGTGGCCAAACAAAGTATTAAAATGTATAAAAATGTGTAATACGTGTAAATAAATCATTTTTGGTTATGAACTAATGAACAAATTGTATTTTAGTAATGCCTTAAGTCCGAAATAACGATGTATTTTAAAAATCCATAATAATTTTTCCAGTACTGTATATTATACTCTCAATAACTCTAATTTTTTTAAACTAAACTAATTACTTAGTCATTTAAAGGTGTGGGTGGTCATCTAGAGTTTGCTATAACATGTTCATTTATTTAATTAATTGTTTTGATGTTTTAATCTAATAGGCTTAGCTCATATTCATGTTGGTCTGTCAGCGTTATTGAAAAAACAAAAGATTCTTATCTACTTATTAGCATTTTTGAGTTTTTTAAAAAATTAATTGATTGCATAACACGTTAATTTGTAATTAATGTGTATTATGTTTAAAATATTTTTTTTTCATTCTTAGATCGAGTTCCTTTCTTTATTGCTGACTTGATTATGGCTTACCTAAAGCCTGATAATTATGAAACAATGTTTCAATTTGAATTGTTTTTCAAGTGTTTTGTTACTTTTAAAAAATATATATTTTTTTGTAATTTTTTTTTATGTTTATATTTTTATTATATCTCAAGAAAAATGTTTTATGTTTTTTAAGTAAGTAAATTAAATATATTGGTATTCGATATAATTTATTTAAATTAGACTTTTCTCATAAATTAATCATAATTTAACAAGTTTATTTAATTTTCTTTAAAGTTCGCATTTTAACATCTGGGAGATAGCAAAATCAGGGGCGGACTGGCCATGTGGAAGATGTGGACTATTCCACATGGGCCGTTTTCATAATCTCATAAAAATGTAAAATTCAATAAAATATATAAAAAAATAATTTTTTTTTCACTTATTACTAACGGTTATATACTACATTAATTTTGCCTATTTAACATTATTCAATTTGTTAATGTTACGATAAAAGTGTAGCCAGACGCAATAAATTATTTTTTATATTCATTAATGTTTATATTCTTTAATAATAAACCCGGGTTATCTGTCTCCACAGAGCTCCGTTTCTAGCCGTCTATCCTTGTGCCTTTGAAAATGCAAACGCAAATATTACATATTTTAGTTCAGTTGCATTTTAACGTTATTTGAATTGGTGTATGATATTATAGTTTGTATGTGTTGAATTACTTCGTATTCTTCATTTTTTATTCTGCTTTCTGTTTTTTAAAAATAGTAAGTTAAATTAAATTTATATAATTATTATTACTAGAACTATTTTAATTTCCTTATTTTTTATTATTAATAACAGTATTACATATAATGGATAAAAATGAAAAAAAGAAAGTTTTGGGAGGGACGGAAAAACTTCGTTTACGACGAAAACGCGAATTAGAGTCCGTGGCGCGAACATGTCACACGATTGATAAAATGTTTAAAATACATGAAGACATGCCTTCTTCAACCGCCTCTACCAGTTCTTTAATTCATCCTGAACTGGAAAAAATAGAAATTGATCATGTACAACAAAATAAAGAAAAGGAAAAAACAAATGAAGAGAAAGAAAATACAAATAATGCTTTTTTTAGAAAACCTCACAACAATAATATTGAAGAATTTTTTAATTATCATCCGAAACAACCGGTTCAAAACGTTCCATTTAACAATAAAATATATTTTCGTAAACACGATCAGCAAAATCGCCAATGGCTATCCTTTTGCGAAGATAATAACAAATTATATTGTTCAATTTGTCTTGCGTACGGTGGGTCAAACGAAAATATTTTTACTAAAGGTTTTTCCAATTGGGACTATGTTCATCAGTACATTGAAAGACATGAAACAATTAAATTTCACGCTGAAAATGTTATGAATCATTTTATGCGCTCAAAAAATACTTTAAACATAACAACACAATTTCGATCATTACGAAAAGAAAATATCATGTTCAATAGAAATGTGCTAACCAGAGTAATAAATGTAATAAAATTAATAGGCAAAAGAGGTTTAAGCTATAGAGGAAAGAGAAACGAGAGCCTCTATACATTTGATGACGATAACGTAGATCATGGCACGTTTATAGAAATCATTATTTTATTAAGCAAATATGACGATACACTGAAAAATCATTTACGAAACTGTATAGAAAAAAGTAAAAAAATTCATGAATGTGGAAAAAGACAAGGAAGGGGTAACTTAATTAGTTTTTTATCCAAAACTACTGTAAATTACGTAATTGAAGCAATTTCTCAATTAATAAAAAATAAAATTTCACAACAAATTAATGACTCTGGAATGTACAGTATCCAAATAGACACTACACAAGACGTAAGTGTGCAAGACCAGTGTGTGGTTGTTGTGAGGTATATTAATAATAATAATATTAATGAAAGACTTTTATCCACCATTAATATGGATTCATCGACTGGTGAATCATTTTACAACGTTGTAAAAGAACTTTTAGAAATTAACAATATCGATATAACAAAATGTATAGGTAATTCTACGGACGGTGCAAGTAATATGCAAGGCAAATATCAGGGTTTTTCTGCTCACATGTTAAAGTCAAATGCTGAAAATGTGCACGTATGGTGTTATGCACATATTTTAAATTTAGTTATATCTGACATTACTCAATCTTCCATAACGGTTGCTACATTATTTAATTTGTTAAATTTAATTGCTGTTTTTATTAGAGAATCATACATCCGAATGAATATGTGGAATTATTTTAATAAAGATAATAAAAGAAAGAAATTGAATATAATTGGAGAAACACGATGGTGGGCCAAAGATGCTATCCTTAAAAAAATATTTGGTAACTATAACAACCCCAAAGATGGATTATTTGTGGAATTAATACTGACGTTAAATGAAATTTCTTTAAAACCTAATTTTAAAGCAGAAATTCGCCAAAAGGCTTATTATTTTATAGATTCTCTAACAAAATATGAAACTATATTAACTGCTAAATTATTTTTAAAAATTTTCGAAATTACAACGCCAATTTCCAACTATTTACAAGAGAAAGGTTTAGATTTTATTAAAGCTTACAATATGATTTCCTGTGCAATTCAATCTCTAAAAGAAATATCAAGAAATTTCTGTGTAATTAATGAAGTTTCGGATGAATTTGTAAATTATGCCAATAATAATTTAGATGAAATGGAATGCGATGTTATGCTGGAATCTAAATTACCAGAAATTAGGCGACGTCAGAAAAAAATAATGCCCGGAGAAAAAGCTTTGGATGAAACTACTTCGAATGCGTTGAAGAATTTTGAAGTGAATGTGTATAATTTTGCTATTGACATGCTGTTCAAAGCATGGAAAATCGTTTTTCAAAAAATCAGTCATTTTATTATGACATAGGATGTCTGGATCCAAAAAATTTTACGGAACCTACTCCCAGTAACGCTTTCGAAAAATTAAGCAGTGTTTTAATAAAGTTTAACCCAATTGCAACAAAACAAAATCTTATTGAAGAATTAAATAATTTTAAAAAAAATTGGAATCTTTTGAAAGAAAATGTAAACGACTCATTTAGAAAAGTCTCAGAAGATAATGTAATTAATGATAGTGATGATGATGACAACGACGATGATAATGACAAAACTATTTCGCCCTCTCATTGCGGAGCTTGTAAGAATTGTCCAATTTGTTGTTATAATATTTTACAACGCTACAATATGTTAAGCGGAACATACGCTACACTTGGACAAGCTTATAAGTATTTATTAACTTTGTCTGTGACTCAAGTGTCCTGTGAACGAAGCTTTTCTATTTTAAAATATATAAAAAATAGACTTAGATCAACCATGTCTCAAGAAAATTTAGATGCATTTATGCTGATGGCAGTGGAAAAAGACTTATTAAACAGTATTGATTCTGACGACGTTATTAATCTTGTTGCAAAAAAAAGCAATTTATTGTTTGAGAAATTAATGTTGTAATTTGTGTTTGTATTTTATAATTGTTAATTATCCTTGCTTTACAGTATTATATATTTTTTTATTGTTAAGTACTTTGTTTTTACGTATATGTATTCTAATAAATTTTTTCTGTTCGATATTTATTCATTAATGTATATATTTATAAATTAAGCATAACTTTGTAATTTACGTCTGTTATCTTTGCTGCTTTTCCTCATTTTTCGTTGGCCTACAGGGCCGTTAAAAATATTTTTCCACATCATAATAATTTGGCCAGTCCGCCCCTGAGCAAAATGCGAACTTTAATTGTAATTGCAATTAAAATTTGTATTTTACTATCTACCAGAACTTTAATTTGATTTATTTTATATTGTTTACTAAATAAATTATAGTATAAAGACTAAGGATCACGCTTAGAAATTGTCGGGTGTGGATTAGTCATGGCACGACCCGTATCGTACGGGTCATACCAGCTAGTAATCTTTTATTTGATAATTAGTTTAGAGATATAGTAATGTGTGCTTACAAATATCTTATGATGCGCGCTATTGTGTTAATAGAACTAGACTGTTTCAGTTATTTTTAAGTCTTCATATCATATTTCTTCTAGCTATACATTGCAATAAATACTCTTATAATTAAAAATGTAATAATTTTTCTTTTCTTGGGCTTTACTTGACTTTTTTGATATGTTACCAGTTGTGTATAAAGATTTTAAAAGAACTTAACAGGTGTTGATATGGATTTCTTTGTTGTCGTTTTCTTTATGTAGCGATTTAGTTACTAACAAACCTGTATCTCGGGTTGCTTACTATCTGTTAAAAATACACTCTATGAATTTAGGAACCTTTGACAAAACCCGACTAATTTATTATTATTTTGTTGAGTCGGGTTTATTGTATTTGTTACATCTTTATTTAAAAATGTATATCGGTTACGTGCGGTTAGTTATCTTCCTCAACGATTCCGAAGTGGGTAGTGAAACCCACATTTAACTTTATTATAATGTTACTGTTTTTAAATTTAAAATGATCACCAAATTTTCTAACAGTAAATTTTTAAATACTCTATAATTTTCTCTAGATTTAATTAAGGTAAATCACAAGATAAACAACTTTAAAGTGAGGTATCTAAACTAAACCACATAAGAGAGGTGGAATAATAGATGCTTAGATATATAACTAACTTTTAGCAAGATAATAATTAAAAAAGTTAAAGTTAAACAATTTATATATTATTATTAAGATAATATTATTTTGATTTTAATAATCATATGCTATAAACTTACTAGTCTGAAAACAACGTGAAAACCATTTGTTTTCACGTTGTTTTCAGAACGTTTAAAATGGACAGAGCATTTTGTGGTCAAATAGTAAGTTTTATGATTCAATTATAAGAACGACAACAATACAAACGTCGTTGAAAGTTTTTTACTTTTTTAAAGATTAGCTGTGTATAATATATTTTTATTTATTAAAGTTTTTTCTGCCAGGTTAGGCTTTTTTGTGAATATTTTTAAGTTATATATGATATGGGATAATGTAAATAGCATCAGGACTTGGAGGTGGCAGTCCTGCAGAATTAGAAAGCTTAACATAAAAGATGTATAATATTTTTACAGATACCTAAAATAAAAATGACAATGGATCACAATAGAAGAAACTTGAAAATGAAACTGAAAAAATAAAGCCGTAAAAATGCGGACAAAGGCCATGGAAAGATTTGGCGAAACTCGGAAACGAAATGATAAAAACAATGTAAGCCCCCCAAAAAAAGTGATAAGTCAAAGAAGCAGTTCAGGCACACTTGTGTTTCTTAAGGAAAAATCAAAATACGATAAAGAAAATGAAAAACTAGAGAGAGAGCGAATTCCTCGTAGACATGAACTTTTCAAGATAACAATATGAGATGCAACAACGCAATGTTACAACAGGTACTTGCCATGAAGGCTCAACAGAACACTTTACTTAATGCTTTTTAAAATAAATGATATACGTGTTTTGAAAAATTTCAAAAGAAACCATTTATATTAGTTTGTAATAGCTGTTGCTAATATATTCTATTTCATAACGTTTTTGTTATGATGTTAAAAATAAAAACCACAATAATCTAAAAATATATACTTTATCAAATAGATAAAAACAAGCCGTTACAACAAGTTGAAACATCAACACCTGTACCTATCGTGAAACCGTATAAACCACATCAACCTAAAAAACCTCCTCAAATTTGTCACTATAGTGGAAGAATATAATGATTAGGATTTGTGTTTTTTTAATTCAATTGAAAGGTTTTTAAAGTTGTTATTACATATTTTCACAATTCCTTTATTTGTATTGATTATTCTTGTTGTACTGTTTATAGAAATCGTAATACCTCGGATAATAGGTGGAATACACAGTTTAATTTATTACTATTATTTATTTTTTTAGAATTAGCTTTTATTTTACTGCCAAAACTATCGAAAGATATGAAAAAGAATTTAAAAAATGAACTTTAAACAAATGAGAAAAACATGTAAAGACGTTTTAAATAATCCAGGATAAGAAAAATTAATCAGCGAAATGATAAACAAATTAGATTGTGTTGCAGAAATATCAAACGAAGAACTTTACAAACTTTATTTTGTATTACAATCATGTTTACAAAAATATTTATCATGTGTACAAAAATATTTTTATATCGTTGTTATTTATATACCTGGTTATAACGAAAGAACGTTATTGATTCTCCGGCATACAAAGAAAAGCATTCACGTTTAGAATCGAAATTTTAAACAAAAGTTTAAAAACGTTTTAAACTTTTGTTTTCGATGCTTTACATTTTACTTACACAAAAGTTAGTTGCTTTAAAAAACGATGTTAGTTATTTAATTATATATGTTCTCTTTATAAATAAAATAAAAAAAAATTTAAAAATATGGATACAAGTGTTGCAGTTGCTAAAGAGGATGTTTATATTGCTTCATCTGAAACTTGTCCTAGGCAGCTGGAAAGTGGTGGTAGGGGCCAATACTGCTGTGTACCAATGTGAAAATGCTAAGTATGACAAACATAAAAATAAAACAAAATATTGGTTTATTCACTTTTCCTAAAAGCAACCCTCAATTGTTAAAAAAGTGGATTAATGTATTTAATAGTATTCGACGACAAGGACGAGTAGATAACTTTAATGTAGAAAAGAAGTATATCCTAGTCTGCGAATTTCATTTTAATATAAGTGATATTATCTTAAAACCTTGTTCTGGAAAAAAACTTCATAAAAATGCTATACCGTCTATTATCGTGTTTGAAGAAAACATTAAAAAATATAAAAATTTCAAAAAAAATTTCCTTTCAATAAAACAACAGAAGCTTTAGAAAGTGGAACTTTTTCTGGTATAGAAACAGATATAAATTTTCATATCGAGCATCCCAAAGAAAACGTTGCTTGTGAAAATTGTCAACATCTAAAAGAGCAGTTAGAGCAACTTAAAAAAGAAAACAATTTCCTTAAAAATGAAAACCTAACATTAACAATAATGGATTTGGACTTTCTTATATTGGATGGCTGTTTAAATTGCCAAAACCAACAATATCAAGACAAATAATATCATGGATTAATTATTTGTATTTTACACTTGGTAGGATAATTATTTGGCCTTCCGGAGAACAAATTGATTTGACAATGCCTGAATGTTTTAAAATAACATACCCAAGTTCAAGATGCATTATTGATTGCACTGGGTTGTTTGTCAAATACCATTATCCTTAAATATCCAGAGTTGTATGTAATCAAGTTACAAATGTCATGTTACATACAAGGGATTATTAGGTATATCTCATTCTGGTGCTATAATATTTGTAAGCCAGTTGTATCCTGGATCAGTATCAGATAAGGAAATAGTAATAAGAAGCGTATTTTTAAATAAAGATCTTTGGGATAAAGATGATTCAGTAATTGCTGATAGAGGGTTTACAATTGAAGAGGAATAAGCAAATATTAATGTACGTCTTAATATTCCTTCATATTTAGAAGATCGAAACCAATTTACATTGGCTGAGTTTAAAAAAAGCCAAACTATTGTTTCTGTACGAATACATATAGAGTGTGCTATCCAAGGAATAAAGCGGAATAAAATATTACGTAATGAAATAACACTATCTTTACATGGTTCAGTCAATCAGATTTGGACGGTTATTTGTCCACTTACAAATTTCCAGTCACCCTTAATAAACGATACAGAAAAAACTACATTAATTAAAAGAATATATTTTTTACTAACGATCTACTTTTTAAAAATGTAATTTTTATTTGTATTATAATTTATTGTTCAATTTAACTTGTCTCAAGTTTAACGATAGCAGGCAAAAGATATTGGATATAAAATAAGTTTAGTTTATTTACAACATCTTTAAAGTACATTATATCAAAAGGAATTCGGATAATAATGCACCCTTTAAACGTATAAACAATGAAATCACAAAATGTTACTTGTGATATTCCTAGAGCCATTTGTATTTAAGTCATGGCTATCTTTAGACGAACAGGCCGTATAACCCTTTGTTTACCGACGGGACTTATTAGTCCCACTGTAAGTTAGTGCCTATATTTTTCAATGAGAATGTAAATTATTGATATTTATTTATAGAAATTAAAAGATATACCTTCTTCTATCTTGTAATAATAAAATATCATCAAAGTCATTGTTCAAAAGCACATATTTTTGTTTACGATATGTCTACTAAATCTTGCAGTTTTAATAAATTTTTTGCTTGATTTGAAAGTTGTATATAAATAACCTTAAATATGTTTGTGCATTGGGAATTTTTTTGATTGATGTTTATTTTTGTAAATAAATACTTATGTTGTTTTGATGAGTTTTTATTGCATTTTTATATAATATTTTTGTAAAATTTGTTGTGGGACTTATATGTCTCGTCAGGTGTTATTGTTTCAAAATTTACAAAAAAATATTAATCTTTTTCTTTAGTTTTTTGATGATTATATGGTATTTACTTAATTTTTTTTATCAGTTTAAT